AGTGCACAGCTGGATACTAGCACCTTAAAATTTCCCATAGAGACAGGCTCCTCATTCTCCAGTTTTTTTTTTTAATTCCCCCTTTGAGTTAAGAAACCCTGAAGCAATTCCCTAGAAATGCAATTTCTTTAAGATCCAGGTTTGAATCTAGGCCCTGCCATTTACTGGCAGTGTGACCTTTAACCTCAGTTTCCTTAATTGTTTCTTATTGAGATAAATTTCTGACATATGCATATGTGAATGAAAATAAGATAATATGTCATTATGCTGCATATTTAGTGTTCAAAAATCCTGTAGTAGGATCAGCTCTGATTGAAATCCTCCCAGTGGCTACAGAGACTGCCCTTTGACCTGGAGCAGAGCCTGGAGGGAGAGATGTGCTGTTCTCACCTGGGAGACAGCTTCAGACCTGTACAACTGGACACGCACAGCAGGAGGCTCCCCTCCTCCCCCATGATCCTAACTTTCAAGGCAAGATGCTGCTTTGATCTTGGGCCCTCTGCAGAAAATCTCCCTTGGCAAGCCTAGCCATGACAGCTGGGCTCAGCGATGGCAACTTTCTGTAGACAACACTGAAAAAAATCTAAACGCTAAGTACTCCGGAGAAGACTTGATGAGGGAAACCAGGTGTGTGCTGAGAATCCAGCTGGAGAGAATTGAAACTGTGCCAGTTAGCTTCAGATTAAAAAAAAAAAAAAAATCGGGGGCAGGGAAAGCACCCTTAGGAGAATCCCTGAAATGGTCTCTACTACAGGGATGTGTTGATTAGCCAGGGACACCAGGTTTCTTCCATTGATTGCCTCTGGTTAATTTTCCATGCACTTGACAAAAAAGGAATGTGACAGGTTCTATCTCAGACCTCAGAATCAGGCAAGACAGGGCTGTGTTTGTCCTTCCTGACCCTTGAGACCAAGAAACCAAGTAAAACTCCTCCTCATGTTGGATCCTCTGGTGGCGGTATCAACATGAAGATGAAGGGCTGGTCCTGAGCCTTTAGGGAGGAGGAGCCAATGCTTTTTGTCTGGCATGGATTTGGGGCAGGCAGGGTGGTGAGAGGCACCTGACTCAGCCCAATTTATCATTTAGTAGGTTGTTTAAAGACTTATGAAGATAGAGCTTCTGTCATGCAAAATACACTAAATGAGGCAGGCTCTTGGAAATCCCTTGGATTTCACTGGTACAGGATGGCTGAAACTTCTTAGACTCTGTAGACCCTTTGCCCAAGAAGCTCCCATGATCCACTTCTCCCACTCAAGGGCAGATTCAGGTTTTAGGGAGCGTGAAAATTTTACAACTTGAAGGAGCCTTCTTAAGGACTGTATAAAATTACAAATTATTACAAATTCAAATTTAGGTATGAAAAATGAATGTTTATTTGGAATAAAAATGTATCAAAAGCAAATGTAAAAATTTTAAGCTGATAAATTCTACAAATATCAAAATGACCTAGAAAAGCAATATTCCATAAAAACAGTCTTTATATCTTAGATATGCCCTTATAAGAACTTTTTCCCTGCAAATTCCCTAGATTAAATGATGACATTTTATAGAGAGAACAGAAAGATATGGTTCATCAGAAGTTGACTTTTATTCTTTATAGTTTAGAAATGTTTCTTTCGGTTTCACCATTCGTTGACGATTTTGCCACTCATTATTAGTGATTTCACAACTTTATTTTTGGTAAAACTTTCAGGATTATTAAATTTTAGAGAAATTCTTGTGTATTTCTTTCATAGATGAGCTGGGGAAGATTCCAGGACATTTCAAGTTGTGTATTTGTGTGCACACGTGGATGTACTCTCAACTGAATCTTAAACATTCTTTGAATTTATTAGCCATTTTATCATCAGTCTTATCATGGTCCTTGCATATTTGTGTCAACATGGTGGGTGGTAGGGTTACTGAAAGCCATTCTTACTGGTACTGTTGTGAATAATTTAACCAGTCACTGAAATGACTGCAAACCATACAAATATACCCTACTACAGAACGGTTAAATGCCTATGCATGTTCTTCTTAGCCAGGTCCTCAAGATTCCTGTAGTCCCTCCCACTATCACTCAACTCCAGGGGAAATACGATGGCAGGATCCTAGTAGAGGGAGACAGTGATCTTAACTGATTATGGTTTAAATAACCTACTTCTGCAAGCTTTACAAAAACATATGACCATGTGACTGTATTACTAGGGCCCTTCCCAGGGCCTTGGAAGGGGCCTGTGCAAGCAGGAACCCCCTCACACATGAGCACCATAGTAAATCTACATATGTTTAGAAAATAAAGTATTAAAGTAGGCCTGCTTCCCTGGATGGTGGCATGTTGGGCTTCCTTCACACCTCAATAAATGTTGAGGAATGGACGGAATTTCAGTCCAACTCATTTTTCCAACGTTTCCTTAACTTAAAAATCTTGCCAGTTTTGAGTTCTATTCCTGCATGTTCTCACCTTCATATAATAGATGAAAAAGAGCCAAGATGTAAGAAATTTTCCTTAAGAGGGACATAGATTTTGGTCTGACTTTTCTATCCATCATAGGAAGGGCTTCCCAAGTAGATCATCTAGGGCCCTCATCAACATATGTGGTAAATAATTGGACTCCAAATCAGTATGTCAGCACTATTTTGGCAGTCCAGGGATAGGAGAAAGGCCCATACAGGTCTGAGTCCAGGCATGGGTTCTCCACCTGAATGATACTGTTGACCATTGGCCAGTCCTGAGTACCAGATGGATGGGGACTTTGAAAATTTTGAGGCAGGTTCTCCAAAGCACAGGACTTTGTGTGGTGCCTCTGCACAGATCTAAGAACAATGCTGATAAAGAATGTCCTGGCAGGACCCGGATACTTTTTCATTCTTTGATATAGCAATAACTGTCAAAATATACAAACATGTCATTTTCTTTGATATAGCAGTAACTGTGAAATATACAAATATATCTGCTGGAATTGTTCACTGTCCTTTTAATTGGTTATATTTAAATGATTATCATAAAAGTATGATAATCTAACTTTAAAAAGTAGTAAGCGTGTTTTGTCTTCAGTGTTGAAATAGGTTAAGGATGTGTTTCTTGGCCACGCACCATCCCCGTACTTCTAACCTTGCTTCCATGGTGAGAACTTCTCTCCTGGCGTCTGCACAACCCCCCGTTTTAGGCCTCCTTTGTGGTCATCCCTGGATGTTATTTGTGGAAGATTAAACACTTCCATGTTGTTTAGGAAATATGCATGAGTGTACTCTCATCACTCTCTGGCTAAGTTTGTTTTCTCTTTTGTTTGTGCTTCTCATTTTCTCTCTCTTGCTCAGAGACACCCAGTGTCCAGCGCTTGGTCTTACATGTGCTGGTGGCAGAGCAAGTGTATGAAGAATGTTCAAAGGAACTTAGATTAGAGGATAAAAGATGTAAGGAAGACATCTGAGCTTCAAATACCTGAAGTCTCCTCATCTGGAAGAGAAGAATGCCTTATTCTTTGTGACCCCAAGTAGTTAAATCAGGTCAGTGCAGAAAGTTAGAGGAAGATTCAATCTCAGGGGAAAGAAAAATTATTGTGGTAGTCATAACGTGCTACTTTGTGGTGACTTCTTACAGACTGGATTCGGACATTGGTTAGATTTGGAGTTCATTCTTCTTGGGCACATTGAAACAAAGTATGAGAATATTTGTGTCATGTCCCAAGGATAGATAGCATCCTGATAGCAGGAACAGCCCCATTCTTTGATTTTAGCTTCCTCTCCTAGATCCAAGTGGACCTCACTTTCAGAGTCTTTGATGCTTGTATGTTGCCTCTGTATGGCCCCTGTATGCTCCATTGCCATTCCCTAGTGAAGACCCCATTCTTTCTGCTAATGTGGCTAACTCTTCTCATCTGGAAATTCTGGCTCCCATACATGGCCTGTCTAATCACCTCTTGCCTAGGGATTAGCTCATCTCTATGTGGTTTGAGCCAACAGTTGATGTGGGTACTAAATTCTTTCCACTATCCATGATTCCATGAATCTATGGCTCTTGCTTTATTTGATTTCAATTTAACTAGACAGTGGATCCTACCGGGGATGTCTTTCGGCAGTGGTTCTCAACCATTCTAATGCCGTGACCCTTTAATCCAGTTCCTTATGTTGTGGTGACCCCCAACCATAAAGTTATTTTGATTACAGCTATGGAAATAACTTTATGGTTGGGGGTCACCACAGTATGAGGAACTTTATTAAAGGGTCATGGCATTAGGAAGGTTGAGAACCACTGTCTTGGGGAATAATCTCACCACCATATCCCTACTCTGTCTTTCTCTTCCATTATCTTCTTCGCAGTATGTTAGATTCCTAACAGAATCTCAGGAAATGCATCTTGACCTGCCTGGTTTGACTAAGCCTCTCCTAACTTACTCTTGTCTTTTCCTCCTAGCTTTGTTCTCGTCTTCCCTCAACCCAATGTTTATTGCCACCAGTGAAGCTACTGAGCGATATTTAGTTCCATCACAGGCTCTTGGGTCAGAAAAGGGGCTGATATCTGTTTGTATCCGTGTCATTCCTGTCTGTTTCAACATTAAATTCTCCCCACCAAGAGAGAAAGGAGATTATATTTTCAAAAGATTTTTGGAAATAATTTCTTGTTTTTGTTACCAGAGAAAAATTAAGTTTAAAGGTTTAGCATATCATAAAATATTTTACTATATAGAATCTACCCTTTTTATCATTAAAAATAAAAAAAAAAACCACACCTACACAGGAAAGAAAAGTATGATAAAATAATCATGTTCATTCATTCTCTCTTAAGTGATTTGGTCACAGCCTTGCCTGCCGAGAGAATAGTTAGGCTGTGTTCCTAACAGTGGGAATGAAAACATGACAATACTGTATACCCACAGCTGAGTTGATTTCAGCCCTTAGCCGATCTTCTCACAGGAGCGGGCTGGGCTCATTGGCTGCAAGGCCATATCTCTTGGTTGTAGCCTATACTCCTTGCTAAGGCTTTGTCTTCCTGGACCAAAATCCTTAACCTTTATAACATCACAGATTTGGAGTACCTGCTTGATCACCTGGCAGAAGTGACACCCGCTCTGGAGTATCTGAGCCTGCTGGGCAATGTGGCCTGTCCCAATGAGCTGGTCAGCTTGGAAAAAGATGAGGAAGACTACAAGAGATACAGGTGAGCCAGGGGCTTGAGCATGGTAAGAGAAGGGAAAACCAGCATCTTTGAGGGATGATATTATACTGTGGGGTGCATGGTAGATGTATGATAAATATCAGTCGGTTTCCATGACAATGTTCAACTTTCATCTTATGGTAACCTAGAGCCCTTGGCTCCCATTGTTGAGGTCACAGGAGCTAAGGAAGAGGAAAAGTTTGGGGGTATAAGGAGCCAAATGATAATATGTTAGGTATTGCAAGTCACATGAAATCTCACTATTCAGTTCTGCTGTTGTAGTATAGAAGTAGCTATAAATGATTTGTAATTGAATGGATATTCTAATAAAATTTTATTTATAAAACAGGAAGCAGACCAGAATTGACATATGGGTTGTAGTTTGCTGACCTCTGCTTTATGTTGTAAGATTTTTTCAAAGTCTGCTTCAGAGTCACTTTTGGAGAGAGACTACCCCCCGCTAAGTTTAGAGAGCTCATATACAGTCCAAGGATACGCTCCATGAGGCTTATACCTGTCCACCATAAAGCCGAGCCAGTGTCTACCAGCCATGGTTTAATGGGTCAGATTAGTAGATCTGATGTAGAGTTCAGATTTTCCAGGGGACCTTTAAAATGGGGAGGACAGTCTAGATCAGTGGCCTTTAACTGAGGATATAGGTATGTCTGAATCATCTACGGCACTCTGATTCTCTTGGTGGGAAATACAATAAAATAGCCCAGAGGTGATTCTTATATTGACTTGGCTTTAGCATTCTGAGATCATCTGCTCTCAGGTAGTCAGAGTTCCTCCTATATCACTGCATACATTTTATATATTGGATTTTATATATTTCTCTCATTACTTCATATATTTCATTGTGCAGAGAATGGCTTCTGGTGGATAAGGGCTGAGTCTTCCTGACTCTTGAAGCTTCATCAACACCTAAAGTAGTACTAGATATAGTACTAGATGTGGAAAAGGGACTTGGTACCTGTTTTCTGGAGGTGACATAAAACTACCTTTCCCTCTCAGGAGCTGAATACTTATACAGAGACACAGGGAACTTTGGGCACTTCAGATGCCCACTCTCCATTCAGAATAAGACTCATTCGAATGTCAAGAAATGCAGGAAGCCAGCAAGGAATTATCATTCAGACTGAACCCAAGTGCTGGTTGTGGGATTGATTCTACAAGAGGGATCATCTCATGGGCTAGCCTGGGCACCTTCCAAGCCTGTCTTTCCCACTCTGGGTCTGTCCCCCTGGAAGGAGTTGAGGGGCAGGCCTGGGAAGGCGGTTTGTGTGTGCACGTACAGCAAAGTTGCCATGCGGTGCCGGATTCTAGAGGCCACTCAAAGCCAACATCACATCTAGTCAAAATTACCTTAGAAATTTCACAGGCCACCTGCAGTGATGACAAGATACTTGCAGGGACTAAGAACAGCAACGGGAACATGAAATGTTCTTCCATCTAGTTACATGTTCACTGCGCAGCATCTGAGGGTTGGGTGGAATGGTAGGCAGATTCTCTAGCATGTTTACATTTTGTATTCATTTAAGTTTGCATTTGCTATTGGTGGTTTGATAAGCTTCTATTTGGAAGAGAGAAATGAGTGTGTGATGTGTTCCCTTCTATGGTCTGTAAGCAGCTCTGCTTTGTTCTTCCTAGAGTTTGCTTTGCTCTGAGAAATTCTAGATTTTCACGGTATGACTTTTGAATCTAGAGTTCCCGGGGCATTTGCGTGTATACAAAGCAATGCAGCTGCCTCTTTTGTTGTTGTTGGGTTTTTTTGTAAAATATTTTCCTGGCCCTTCATCCACGAAGCATGAGGTCTGCCTTCCTTCTAGCTGTTACCCAGAGTCTAATAGTACAGCCTCTATGTAAATTTATGTGACATTTTCACTAGAAAATTGCTTAAAAAATGAATGATATTTCTACAGTTTACTGTTTTTCACTTTAAGTACATTTTCTGACAATATGTCTTCTATTAATCATTTAAGCAATACTAGGAGACTTAAAGGAGTGTATTCAGAAGCAAGAGCCCATGGTTCATTTAGTGCTGTCTAAAAAAAAAATTTCTTATTGATTGGCATCCTCTGTGGTTATGTGATGTAATATTTATAATATGTCACCCAGCCATACATCAAAACAAGTGTGTGTGTTGTTTCATTTCCATGGGAGATGTTGATTTCAAAGAGGTCAGCCCTATTTTAGGTCACGTTGTGGCCAACCACTGGACCAGAAATGGGAAGTGACTAGATTTATGTCATTATTGGAAATGGCATCACAGATGCTTGGGTTTCTGCCGACTTTTCTTCCCTTCCACCCCTCAACACCCCCCAACATCCACCCTTTTCACTTCTCACTTACCCCCTGTGCACCCAGTTGGATTTTCTTGGCATATATCCCCACAGTAAAACGGTCTCATTAAACTTGTATGTGAGCAAGAACGTACTACCAAGTTGTTGAGCAGTGTCCTGGCCCTGCTGGGACAGGAGTGAAACCGAGCCTGGGGTTCTCTTTGTCATTCATCATAGTTCGTGGCTGAGAAATGTCCATTGCCATGTTATTACAAGAGCTTAAAGCTGTCCGTGCTTTGCCGTGTGTGTACACACGGTGCTGCTATTTTGGGATGAATGTTGAATGGAGGTGAATGTGATCACCAGCAGCCTGTGGGATTCCAACAGGAAGAGAGCAGCCAAGCAAGGCTTGGCCTGAGAGCCCACCACTGTACAAAGAAACCACTTGGGGCCTCTTGCAGATTTCAACACCAGCCAAAATAATGAGTCAAGGATGGGAAACCTGGGTGCCCGGAATGCTCTATTTTGCGTCTTCATGCGATCCTTTTCTTCTCACTGCAGAAGAACAAGGGACTGAAGGTCAACAGTAGACGCGTCTAGACTTCACCTTTCAAATAAAGGAGTTGGTCTCCTGGTCTCTTAGCTCCTCTTCTGTCACTAAACCCTTTGTTCTTCGTCCTCTCCTGTCACTCCAGTCTCTGGTTGGCCTCGCCTCCCCTCTCCTGCTCCCCAGTAGGTCCCCTCTGTATTCCTTACAACCTTAAATTATTTAAAACGTGACACCCTTTCTTTGTTCTCTTGCATGGAGCAGCCCTGGGGCCTGCCCAGTATCTGTAGCACTCAGCCGCAGGGAGGGAGGGAGGGACCCTCCACCGTCTGTTGGCTGTCCTGGGCTGCCACCATTTCCCAGCCGAATTGGAGCTGTAAAACTTGTGGCTTACATAACCCAGCGAGCATTCTCCAGCTAATCTACAATCTGGGCTTTGAAGATCACAAGAAAGCAAAGGTCGTGACCCAGAGATCAAAGTGACAGAAGCCCACAGAGTAATTGCCGGTTACCCTCTGCAGAGGGCCCTGGTCTGTCCTGTGGGTGTATTGTTTGTGTGCAGACTTCAAACATGCTGCCGTGAACTGTGAGGAAAATCAGCCGGCCTCTGCCAGTTGTCAGGCATTCATTAATGCTGGAGGTGAGCTCACCTCGGCTCATTAGAGTGAGATCATTGTCATCTCTCCGAGCATCTGGACTTATTCCTCTCGCAGTGTTTGCTCATTGCTCTTTGGTCTTTATTGACTTTTTCTCACAGTGTTTCACCTGGAGGTGTGGGGGTGGTTTTATAAGGAAATTGGGATAATAGGAAAGGACAATATGGATGTGTTTATTGTGAATCGACTTTGCAATCCGTGGGATCTAGCAGAGTGAAGTTTGTAGGAGGTTTAGACATCATTTGGCCTGTCCCTTTCGTGGCAGGGATAAAGTGGCCAAGGCTCAGAAGGGTGGCAGAGGCTGAGCCAAGACTGGACAGTGAAACATGCCTGGCGCCTGGGCACTTTCCCCCACCCTGTTAGCCCCCCAGCTTTTTGTTATGAAGACCTCCTTTTTAATTTTCTCCCCCCTCTTTAAAACCTTCTATCTCTCAAATAAGCTACATTTAAACCATTGCTAACTCTTTGTTATTATTAATCAGACACGTTCTGCAGGTGATCAGAGCTTTTGATCAGCATGAGGTAACCAGTGTTACTTAACGGTGTTGATGTGATCTAGACAACGGCAAAGAAGCCTGGGCTTTTGTTGGCATTCTCATCTATTCTGTGAAGCTTTGTGAAAGACTGGTTCATGGACCCATTGCTACCTTCCAGAGCCCCACGTAGGACCTCGGTAGCTTGCACCACGACTCCACACCCCCCATGCAAGAAGGCAGGAAAAAATAGTGGGAAGAAGCACAGAATGCCATAAACGGTAGGAAGACGAGAAAACTCTAGTGACTTCCATACCCAGTTCCTTCGAGAACTAGACACTTGGTATTTCTTAATAGAGTCTCAGAGAAAGATGGCAGCCAACTCCTCTAGCAGACAGTGGAGACCCGTCTGGGGTTTTGTGTGATTGCACAATGTTATCAGGGAGCAGACAGCTGTGGTTATTGGGGTAAGAGTTGTGGGCAGGAGGAAAGAAGGTTTTCCTCTCTCTTTGAGGTCTAGATGAAATGGCCGGAGCTTTGGAGCAGAGGAAGTGCCATGCGGGGGAGGTGGGGAGCCTTTCTGCTGGTCTTCTCACCTGTGAGGAGTCCTTTAAGCAAATGAAACATTCTGTGTGAACAGAGAGAGATCCCAAAAAGCTCTGTGTGCTGGTGTCTCACTTTTAGGAAATCTATTTCCAGACAGAGAAAATTGGGTCTTTCAGTGCCTTTCTGGGACCCCTGCTTTCCTCTTGATAACCTTACCTTCTATATCATAGCCAAGAGTGCCTCTGCCCTCCCCCCACGCCGTCCCCCGATCCTGGGGGCTTTCCCCTAGCCACCTTGAGAAGGTCAGGAAAATTGGAGTTGCCCTCTGGAGCTAGGGACGTGAGACTCAGAACTTAGACGGATCTCTTTTCATTAAGCAGTGCCCTGGCTTAACAAGCAGTTTTATAAATCTGAAGCTGTCTCCGGGTGTTGCAGGATTTATAGACGGGGGTTTCTGCCATAAAGTGGTTTATGATGGCTGCCTTCTGTGTTATTAGTAGCTGTCTCTTCCTTCAACCATTGCTGTTTGATAATAGCCTTAAAACACCCAGAATTACTTACCTGCAAGCCCCATTCCCGATAGCCCCTGTTGACAGTCTGAATAAGTTTAGTGCCCTTTTGTTGTACTTTACCTTCAAAACAAACTGATTGAACCATCAATAGCTGGAGGAAGCTGACAGAGGGATGTCATCTGGACTAGCCCCTGTGATTGCAGGTTATCTGGGGGAGTTAACCTTCCCGCATTGTTAACTGAAATGTTTTATGTACTATGCAACTTTAGGATATGGCTGTGATAACCCCAGTAACTAAGTAATACATCACAGTAAAGAGATTTTGGTGTAACAAATAACCCTGGATTAAATTTACAAGGGTTGAATTGATATTGTAAAAGCCTTCATTCTGCGGCTTCGGGAATCCTCTCTTGTATTTTTATGGCAAACTTGTATTACACTCAGGATTGAAGCTGCAGCTTTTGACACCCTGACATGACCTAGAACAAAGTAAAATAGATCTCCCATACCAGGATGGGACAGGCAGGCAGGAAGCCCACTGACTTATCACTTGGCAATAATCTCTGGAGCCAGTTCCAAGCCACCAAGAGGCAGGAAGATCGGGTAGACGAGGCCCCTGCCTGGGCACTGGGTACTGCAGGCATCGGGGCAGGGCAGACCATTAGCTGAACTGGGAAGGAACCTCTGGGCTGCCTGGGCATCCTTGCACTTCCCAAACTGTTAGTCCTCCTGTTACTCCTAATGTCCTATGTGACATTATCATATTTTCATTTGAACACTGGTTCTCAGCAGGGTCAGCAACTTCAGCACCACCTGGAAACACATTTAGAAATGTAAATTTCAGGCCCCACTCAGGACCTACTGCATCAGAAATTCTGGGGTTGGGGCCCAGGGATGTGTGTTTTAATAAGCATCCAGGGGTTGCCGATGCCAACTCACATTGAAGAACCACTGTGCTAGACTATCAGTTCGCTGAGAGCACTGATATTCCATTCTGTTCATCACCTTATCTCAGCACCCGGCACAGTTCCTGGCAGGTGGTCACTGTTCAGTGATTATTGTGGAGTGAGTGCACGTGTGAGGAAGTACACACAAGAAGACATTTGTACAGGAGGAATTTTGGACCCAGGCTTGAGCTCGGGCTGGACTTTTGGGGGCAGGTCTTCACTGCATCCTTCAAACCTCTCCAAGCAGCAACCACCCAGAAACCCAACCCAGACTGGCCCTCGGGATAGGTGGCGAGTCTTCCCTAGTTTCGGTGATGACCAGCAGCCTGTGTCCTGGGCTGTCTCCTCAACTGTATAAGAACAGTGATTTGAAAATAGCAGCTCTTTGTCATCGAAAATTTTTAACTAGCTTAAAAGCCAGCACTTCTCTCTCTCTTTCTCGTTTGATTTCAGGGCTGTGATCCAAAGTGCGGCGAAATGACAATGTGCGGTCTGTTGTCATCCTGGTTCCTGCCAGCCCTGTGAAGGCATCTTTCACTCCATCATTAAACATTGGCTGATTTTCTAATACTGGTGTTTTCTTCGCCTGAATATTCATCTTTTCCCACCCTACACTTAGTGGGTGTCTTTACTCCCTTGCGCGTCACTCCTGACATATTGTTTCTGTCTGTACATGTCTTTATTTGAAAGAATCTGTTGTCATTGAGACTTTCCCGCTACATGCGGGAGATGGAAGTCTTCTCTGACATTGACTGAGGCCTGTGGGAGTTCTACTGGAGGGTAGAACAGACATTGGGGCCTTTCCTGGCACTTGCTTGATTTTGAGTAAGTATAGGGAGTATTCGGAGGGGAAGAAGAGGCTTAGGGTAGGAAAAAGGGCAACATACTAAGGCCAGGGAGGAAGGAAGTAGATAGAGAGCCAAATTTCTGGGACCTCAGGTATTGAGGTGGACATTTCTAAAGGAGGAAGACTATACCTCCAAAAAATTTTAGAGTATTTTAACAGTGAGTAATATGGAGGTTATTCCTAGAGGTTTCTCAACCATTTTCTTTGGCTTTTACATGATCAGCCAAGTCTTTTACCCAAACAGGTATATGAGAGCCGCTTGGTGATACGAGACCACCTTATGAATGTGGGAGGTGGCCCTGGGCACCCCAGGCTCCCAGAGGAGGAAGGTACACTGTACGTACACTCCAAGTAACTACACTGAGAATGAGCTCGGTGCTTGGAGTTGCTTCAGGGTTTGGTTCTTTGGAGCCCACTTGAGATTTCCATTTCCTGGTCCACCATTTCTAGTTGGTTTTTAATCACACAGTAAGTAACATAGATGTCTTTCTCTGGGCTCCCGTACCTACTCTGTGCATGACTTCAATCCTGTAACTTAGCTATGCTGTTTCTAAGTTCTCTATGTGAGTGTGTCTTTTCTGTTCCTTTGAGACCCCCTTCAGGAGCAGGAGCCATGTCATAATCACCTCTGTGTCCCCGAGGGCCAGCACATAATAGGTGCTTAAGAAATATTTGTGAGGGTGGCACCTGTGGCTCAAGGAATAGGGCATCAGCCCCATATACTGGAAGTGGCAGGTTCAAACCTGGCCCTGGCCAAAAACTGTAACAACAACAACAACAAAAAAAAATAAATAAATAAAGAAAGAAAAAAAGAAAGAAAGAGAAAAAGAAAAAAGAAATATTTCTACATGGCCTGGCACCCATAATACAGTGGTTACGATGCCAGCCATATATTTTGAAGCTGGAGGGTTCAAACCCTGCCCAGGCCAGCTAAACAACAATGACAACTGCAACAAAATATATCCCAACATTGGGGCATACACCTGTAGTTACTCAGGAGGCTGAGGCAAGAGAATCACTTAAGCCTGAGAATTTGAGGTTGCTGTGAGCTGTGATGCCAGGGCACTCTACTGAGGGCGATATAGTGAGACTCTGTCTCAAAAAAACAAACAAAAGAACTATTTGTGCAACCAAAATAGTCTGATGTGTTAGTGGCTCCATTCTAATGTCAATTTCCAAGGGGTGAGGGTGAGCAAAGAAATTGGCCTCTGCCTTTAAGAAGCTTATAAAGACATTAACTGATCATTGAGAAAATCATTATAAAACAGCAAAATGTTAGACTGTATAGCGGTAAGAGTGTATCTAGGAGGGCTGAGAAAAAAGGCAGTGTGGGCAGTGTGAACTTCATAGGTTTGGGGGCTGGAAAGATAAGTGTATAGGCTAGGCACAGGAAGGAAGTGACAGATTCCCTTGGAGATAATCCTTTGTTCTTTCTGAGCAGAATAGGGTCTAAACAAGTGCTCATTTGATTGATGAGGTGATGGGAAGCATGTGGGTTGGTAACTGCCACTGAGGAGGGAGAAGCGTAGGAACATGTGTCTGTACTTTTTATACATTAATTTATATATTTATGTCCCAATGCCCTGACCAAATGGATATTCTTTTCAACTCCATGTCCACCTATTTGAGGACAGTTTATCACATTAGTAGCCCTTGGCTTATCCTTGGAGTCCATATGGATACCTAAGGATCTTTCCAGGAGACTAGAGAGCACATAGCGTTGTTGGGCTATTAATATCCCCCAGAGACCAACTCCCCTTGTTTCTCCTTGATAATGATAATTTCATAGTGCCTGTGTGGAAATAAGCCAGTGATGGTGAGGAAGAGGTTCTCAGGATCCCTGCTCGATTCCTGAGCATTTCTCAGCTACATGTGTTCCTTCCTTCTGTCCCCAAATCACCGGGTTATGATGGTCAGTTTATTATCCTGGATCAAGGTCTTTTGTCTCAGCTTCAAATGGAAGATCTTGTGGTTATCTCAGAGATGAGAGTGAAAAGATGACCCATAGGCATGGCGGCGATGTAAAGGGTACATGCTAGTTATGGGGGAGTTTTGCTGAGAACTTCTGTGTAGCAAAAAAGCTGAGCCTGTTTTCCAGAATGGAGGGAAGGGAATATGTTGACAGTGTCCTGCTGGCCTGTCCAGGTGGGTGGGTGCTTCTACTTTTGAGCCAACTGCAGCCACTACTGTGTATTTCTAAAGTTTCTGAACAATCCCAAAGAGGGATTGTTCATTTCTTGTGAAAGAGAAGAGAAGGAGCAGATGAGATCTAAGCTCCTGAAGACCTACCAGTGTGGATTCTGGAAGTAGACAGATTGTCTCAAGACTCACTCAGAGGCTGTCACTCCAACCTTCCTGAGTTGTCTCTGACTTTTCTCTTCCAGATGTTTTGTTCTGCACAAGCTGCCCAACTTGAAGTTTCTGGATGCCCAGAAAGTAACCAGACAAGAACGGGAGGAGGCGATGGTCAGAGGAGCCTTCATGAAGGTGGTGAAGCCCAAGGTGAGTTGCCTGCCCCCTGTCTTCACCAGGGGTTTCCATCTCATGACCCTGGTTACACTTTAAGGCATGGAGGATGTACTCTTGTGTGGTTAAATGCAGGATCTCACACTTGGGCTTTATCCATGGATATGCTGTTGGCCAATAGGACTGGGTATAAATTGGGTCTTCCTGTGACCCAGGCTCAGGGAACCTTATTTGTAAGGTGGTCTCATGCAGGTGGCTGATCAACCAATAAAGCAGCATCAGACACAGTGCAGTGGTAAAGTTCAGGGGGAGGGGATTTCAGCCCTCTTTCTTGAAGATGCTTCCAAAGTGAGATCTCTGCAGGTTTGGAGCTGAAAAAGGAGAAAAAAGAAAGCATCGGGCATGGGTAGGATTCCAAGGAAGGTAGGCGTCTTCTACTACTTTCTTGCTATCTAAGGAGCGCTAAGGGAGAGTGATTTTCTTCCATGGCAGACAAGATCTCAGCAACTCTCTGAGATATCGTTAGTGGGGAAGGCAATGTTTTCTGACAGTGTGTCCCTGGGCTGGTGTGTGTTCCCTCCATGTGGCTCTCCAGAGCTTATCAGAATGGTGTTTACTGACCTTTCCTTTACCAGCTGAATCTGCAAGGAGTCTCTGTAAGTGAATGTGGTGTCATCCTGATGGCAGCTCAGATGAGGCAGGGGAGATTGGGCTTGGAATCTTGGATTCAGACACAAAGAGCTTTCTAAGGACACGGATAACTAGCTCTTCAGAAGAAGTCAGGATCTTTTTAGTGAAGCCAGAGGCTGGGGAATGGACTTGATGACCCCCAATGACCCTTTTGGAGAACTAAGACCACCTTGGGGCTCTGTGGAGCAATGCGGTCACCTCCCCTGAGATGGCAGGTTATGTGTTGAAAACGGTGGCACACAATTCCTAGAGGTCTAGTTTGCCCACGACTATTGACTTAAAGCACTCTGCACATGCATTAGACATGATTAAGGGGGAAAAGAAAAAACAAAAACCAAACAGAACAATGAAACCTTTTCCATCAAGTCGCTTGGCTGGCTACAGACCTCAGGCTACTTTCTTTCCCCAATCCACGAGGTGCAACTTATTTCCCGTTATGCTGAATAAGATTGCTAGCAGTTGTGGAAATATATGACACAGAGGGTATAATACTGGCAGATAAATGTATTGTTACCTGTTTCAGCATGTGGGAAATTAATTGAGTGATTCATTCGTAGCTATTAAATTGTTAACAGTTCCCCTTATGAGGCGCGGGTTTGACATATCGCACATGACTGCATTTAGTTATTCCAGCTTTTGTAATTTTGGCCAAATGAAATAATTTATTTCTTGGCCTCCTTTTTTTTTTTTTTTCTTTTGGTGAAAAGAGTATAGCCCACATCATTACCAAACCCAGATGTAGAAGAAATGAATTCTTTTTTCTTTTAAGTTTCAGATTAATATGGGGATACAAAGGTTTAGGTTACATTGTTTTCAGTTCTAAGGTAAAGTTCAAGTGGTAATTGAGCCCTTCACCCAGGGGGTGTGCTGGGCACCCTCACATTGTGCACAGTAGGGGAGATCCCACCAGTCCCCCTCCCTCCTCTG